GTTGGTGGGTAGAAAAGTGGTAATAGTATCCTGTTAGGAAAGGAGGTATAAGAACATGGAAATGAGAATGTGAGTGATACTATGCAGGCATAATCAAGACATAGTCAGCTGGTATTTTTTACTATAGCCACTTGGGTGCTTATACAAATGCTGGTTTTGATTAGGCACTGCTTATGCCTTTGCAGTAGTTAATGATGTTACCTTAGGAATAATGACAGATGTCTGCAACCATAGGCATGAGGTGTAAGGAAAAAAAAAAGGAGAGAAAATGGGGTGGGAAAAAACAAATTATGAACGAATTTAAATGCCATCTAAGAAGTTTGCAGGTCACCAAATTTTATTTACTGCTTATTTATTCATTCAGCTATTCCATGGAGGCAGCGATACCAGATATAAGGCTAGATAAAGAATCTAATCAAGAAGAAATGGGTACTTGAGCATTCATTGAAAGTGAAAGGAAGGCCCAGATATGAAAGATAGTCTTAAAAGGGCATTGTTCTGGCATTGGTGACTATAAGAAATGTAAGAAACAGAGTAATGAATTAGAATCTGAGTTCCCATAGTAGATAATGGAGTCTTTTGTTTGTACTCAGTGGTGTTTGAATAGAATGTTAAGGGCAATTTTTAGTGTTTTCTCTAAAGATGAAATTATCAAAGAATTTCAGATTCTGAGGTTTGAGAAAGACCTTGGGTGTGGTGAATCTCCTGGTGCTCAATGCACTGAAACAGTAGGCTTATTCTGGGCCTCCCTGGTGGTGCAAGGGTTAAGCACAGCACTGTGAAGCTATCCAAAGCCACTGCAACAGTTTGATCCCTGGACAGTTTGATCCCTGGACAACCAGGGAGCTACCCATATGGCACAGCAGACCTCTCCTGTCTCGCCCAATGCTCCCCTCAACAGTTTATTTCAGTCTATCCACCTGTTCTGCTCCCCACTCTGTTTCTGGTGAATCCTCTCAACCCCTACACCTCTGGCCTCTGCCCTAGTTCTTGTATGCATAAATAAATAAATCTTAAAAAAAAAAAAAACAGTAGGCTTATTCCACTAAATAAGATATCTGTGCAGGGACTGTGAACTGAATCAGCCTCTATACTGTAGAGAGGAATCGGGATTAGTGATTCCATCTGAGAAGGGAAGAACCTACTGGTGAGTTTGAATGGCTTTTTAGACTGAACTGTGCATTTCACTTAAGACATCCTAAGTTAGGGAATGATAGGTGGCAGAGGCATCATTTTTGTTAGCTACAAAGACTGCTAAAGCATTCTGTTTTCTTAGTGGTATACTGTCCAACATAATACCAGTTGCCGAAAAGGAAAAATGAAAACTGTAATAAGAAGCTCTGACTATAGTTAAAAAGTCAAAGGAAAGATTGTGGTAATCAAGGAACATGAATTCTAAGTCAAATTCGAAAACTTGTACTATAAGAGTTCTTACAGACATCCCAGCATTTTGATTTATCATCTTTTTGTGACTAAGTTGTCTATTAAATGGCTAGGGAGATTTTTTGGTAAAGAAGACTTATAACTCAAAATGAATCACTGCTGAAATTGTCATGACTAGGTCAAGGTCTTGATGTTCAAGTAGCTTGTTAGAATGACCTGTATTCCTTGTAATGCAAAAAAGAGAGCTCTGGGCCAAGAGCCAGAAGATATGCCCTCCCATTTCCCAACTGTGTCTGAGAACAAATCCCTGAAACATCTAAACTTAAAGTTCCTCTTCTGTAAAATAGGAATAATAATGGTTTACTCTGTACACCAAAGAGCTATTGTGAAGGTCAGAGATGAAGGTCCTTGTGTAAATTCTTTGTGACCTATAAAACTGCTGATTTGCCAGGATATTATTTTTGAAAAGGCCATGTAGGTGGAATGGTTATGGAACAAGAAGCTCAGTGATGTAATGAGAACAGTGTGGGCTAGGGCAAAGTCCTGTGTCACTGTCTTGTCCTTTGCTGGCTGCTAAGACATTGCAAGATTTCACTCCTTTTGGCAATTGCCTTTGCTAAATTCCAGGTAACTTTAGGAATATAGTCAAGAGCCAAAATAACAATTTTGGATCTCAATAGGTAAAATTTTGGATCTCAATTCATAGCAGCAGTTTTGCTCTTTGTGCTTGTGCTTATTTCCTTTCATGTGTACATATGTATTTTTTACAGCCTGGACAAATTAATGTTGAGATTAGTTGAAATTATTAGTTGAAAGCAAGTGTATTTCTATCTATTCTTTAATAATCTGTCCTCACCAAAAAATCATAAGTACTTTTTTTCTTATCTGTTTCCTAAAGATCAGTTTCTTATTATTTCTAATTCAGGCTATCATAAGAATGACTAACATACTAGGGGAAAGCTTCCCCATTCTAAGAAAATGGGCTGTTTTTATGCAACTCATTTTGATAACGAAGTATGGGAAAATTTAATTACACATAGCCCATTCTCACAGTCCCCCCACTGGCCCCTCTTTTTTTCCTAGCAGCTAAAAATTGTCTTAATTTCTATCAGATTTTGTAAAAATTTTGCCCCTTAGAGAGCAAATAAGGCTGCTAATCAGTTGATATTATTGGCTGAGAAAGGGGAGTTACCATTGGTCTGAGAAAAAGGGAATTGACAAACCTATAACAAGTACACACACACACACACACACAATGTACACGTGTAGAGGATGGATATCTTGGAACATATTAGGAGAGTTCTCTATCTGACCATACTTCAGTTCTTCAGTTGGAATTGTCATGATAACTTTGGTTTAATATGGCTCATTGGAAATGGAAATAAAATAAATGGAAACTAGTATGTATCAACATAGAAATTCTATGAAATTTTTTTATTACTATTCAGATAGCAAAAGCTTTCATAATGTTAGAATAATATGCCATAATTAGGCACTCATTAAAAATAATGAATGACAAATACAGCCATTTCAGTGTTTAAAAGATGTATAATGATATTTTGGAAGCCAAATTCATATTTCCATTTGAGATTTGCTTTTCAATTCAAGTCTAGAACTGTGAAGGCAAAAACCCAATGATTATGTAACTAGCCATGAGTCAGCATATTATGGACAGTCGTTAATTGTGTTGTTTGTGTTAATAGATGTCTGAGGTGTGTGGAAATGGAAACATCTTTTTGGTTTCAGATTTTGGGACAAATAGCAAAACCTTGGATTTGGCATTACCACTGTTAAACTGGGAAGCTTTTGTTAAACTGAGTTGTGTTTGTAAATATAAGTGTCAGTTATACAAAAATGACATTATAGATTAACAAAATATTTTTTAATCAGAGAGTATCGCTTTCATGGAAGGCACCTTCCATTGTTGCTTGAGTTTTATTCTTATGTTTCTTGTCCATTGTTTTTGTTATTTTTATCTTAAAATCAAACTATACCTTTGAAAATCAAGACTGTATCAAGAGCATTTATGAAATGTTTCAGACTACAATGTAAAAAAATAAAAATGACAAAAATCTTAATGACCATACTCATTAATTTTAATCCATAAATTTAAATCTCACTAAATTTTGCTTTGCTTTTGCTTTATTTCCTTTTAATGAAGAATATGACTTTCAATTTTCTCACCTATAAAGGGGAAAGGAGAGTTACAAACATCTATTAAGTGAAAATAATACTCAAATTGTGATATGTCTAAAAGTAGTTTGTAACCATAACGAGCTATGCAAATGATGTTATTACCTTAAAATAGGACATTGGCTTTTTTTTAAATTTAGAAGCCAATGTCAAAATGTTTGCTAATACAAAAGTCAAAAGTTTTTCTTCTCTTCATCTTTTTGTGGAAATACTGCTTTCTCATCAAGATGGAAAATAAGATTCTTTAAATAATGCTTATAAAATAAGCACATCAGTATCATTTTAAAAGAAACTTATAAAGATGCATATTTTTATTGTTGCTGAATCTTAATATATATCTAGCACTAAAGATGTGATGAGAACTAGTCTGTTAGAACTCTATGTAACTTTTAATAACAAGCATATTCCTATTTATAGACCAATTGAAGTATTATAGGTATTCTTAGTGATGTTATATAGTTCTTCAAAGGAAATATGTATTTATATCCTGCTTTATACATTTGGGCAAAAATAGTAATAACACTTTCAAAATACTGATGGGAAAACGAGTCACAATAAATATGTTGTATTCTCAAGATAAAGAGATGTACGATTTTCAGAGTTATAGCACTCTGTCTGTAAAAATAGTGCAATTGGGATATACTATTTTGGTAAGAAACTCATTAAGTGCAACTTTAAAAGCTTCTTCTTCCTCTTCTTTTTTTAAACTTTGACATTCCAGTAAACTGTTAGGAAAATGCCCTTCCAATTCCTTTTCCTTTGCTGAAGTGTCTAGAAGTGAAAGCACATTCAAATAAAAAGAGGAAAGTCCCTTAAATTCCTTTCAAGAAGTCCATCCTGTTAGTGCCACTCATAGAAAGACTATGGCTATGCTTACTTTTAGTTAGAAGAAAACTGCAAAATACTTGTAGAACAAATAGAATTGGAATTGGAATTTTCTGTCACTCTTACAGTTTATGACCTATTTGTTCCTATGTTCAGCCTATTAAAATTTATTTTCTTTAAGCAGCCCTTTCTCTAAAAGGAAACTTTTACAATAGTCATTATAATACGATGCAAAAGTGTACTTATATCCATAATTCACAAAATATTTTAAATTTTTCTAATGATAACAGTTAGCAAATTATATCGACTACGGAATAGGAAACTATAATTATGTGAGTGCTTCCCATTTACAGGATCCTTCTGCACCTATCATTTTATTTTTGTGTTCCTAATAATATTTTTGTGTTCCTAATATTCTGGTGCTTTCAACAAGACTGGTAAAATTGGGCTTTTACGGATGATGAATTAAGGCACCTGGGAGGTTAATATGAATGTTTCAATGATCCCTAACTGAGCTGAGACTCAATACTAGTTCTGTTTCTTTCCTTTGTGACATGACATTATCTTTATCATACACATTTATTTTTCTTACATTCTAGGTATCTCTTCTACCAACTCCTTTCAGCAGACATTACCAGCTGAAGGAAGACAGCTGTGAGTCCAAATCCCAGCCCATCAGTACTCCTGATTCCCATGATGAGCTCACCAGTACAATCCGGTCAGTCTGGTTGCTTCTTAAACCATGAATATTGTTTCTTTGTTTTACTTCAACCCAAACAGTTGAAACTATGAAAGTTTTTTCCTGATGGGGATTGGTTGGTTTGATAATGAAATTTTTATTCTATAGCTAATTCTCTGTTGTGTAGTCCAAGTTTGCTTTCTGGACAACTAATTTCATTTGCATTGTGACTGGAATTATGATATAATATTTGGATTGAATTTTGTGAAGTTGTAAATATTTATTACTAAATACAATGTAGGATGCTAACTCACACACTCATGGTTTTTGCGATCTAATACATGTTTGTATGCTTTTACATTGTGCCATGAGGATTTGTAAGTGCTTGTAGATTTACTCTTCCATCTCTTTGACATATTGGAAAGATATTTCTCTCATCCTTCTTTGCTGCTATCCACTTTTCCTAAATAAATAGTTAATTTTTATCTCATCACCTGCTTTCTGCCAGTCTAGTATAATGTGTGACTCATGTAGTGTTGTGTTCAGCACAACCAACTCCATTTCTCCAGAAACAGGGTCTTACTTTTGGCACAAACATAATCCAAGTCTTGAGAAAGAGGGAGTATGGTCAGATATCACAGGTTAGTCATAGACATATTTTATAAGAATTTTCCGCTTGGATCATTATATAAAAATTAATTGTTATATATTCTCTAAAAAAATCTTTTAGCATTTTATTATCCTTATGTAGTTACCCAAACCTGGGATCGAAGCAAGTGTAATGTTATAATCAAGCCTTATAAGAGGACATCTTTTGTTAATATTTTCACTGTCAGTAGTGCCACACCAAGATTAACTGCTCTGGAATTCTACTGTTTCATCAATCTTTCCCCACATCCCCAAGAGAAACTCCAAATGTTGAATTTGAAGTTGGAAATTAATTATTAGAGAATATAGCTGTGATTTGTGATTCTACTTATCATATTATAGATATTCCAGTTTTTGGTCACAATCATTATATAACTGGTTTCAAGTAATTTGGTTGGACAGATGAAATGTTACCTAGGACTCTTATCCCTGAGTGCCTGTAGCCCAGTGGCGCTCAAATTTTAACATGTAGTGGGATCACTGTTATAAACAGACCCATCTCTAGCTTTTGAGTTAATAGAAATGAGATGGGGCACAAGAATTGCAGTTTTCACAGGTTCCTCCCAGGTAATGCTTCTGTTGCATGAGGACTGCTCTTTGGAAACCAGTCAACTGTCCCTCCCCTTCCTCTTACTTAGCTCCTACCTCTGCCCTCACAGGACAGTCCTGTGTAGTGTGAGCTGTGATGTTCATCACAATTATGGTATAGTACTGTTATCCTTTCTAGTGAGATGAAGTTAAAACCATGTTTGTACTTTCTATATGTACATATTGCATTTACATATTTATATATTTTTTTATTTATAAATTTAATGTGTTAAATTGCATAATTTTAAAGAGTCATTTAATTTAGAACTAACATACAAACTTTTTTTTCTTGTGGCAGAATGTGTTGGAATCACTAAAAAACATATTAAAAGCAATAAGAACAAATTGGCTAAGTAAATGGCAGAAAACTTCCTCTATTTCCGAAAGTTGTAGTCTGGAATTTACATAGAAGTTTGTCTTTCATTCTCAAGTAGGAAATTAAACTTATATATATGTGTGTAATTTAAAAAAAATGTTCTTGTACATTTATTATGTTCCCACCTCCCATATCCACTGAACAAACATGGTTTATCTCCCACCCTAACTTTGACAGGTAAATAATGGGACAGATTGAATAAGAGGAAAATAGAATTTATGGCAGTACCAACTGTATCCAAATGAGACATTTAAAATGGTATTCTACCTCAATATGTAATCTTGAAATGGACAAGAATACAAATACTATCAAGACTAATGAACGATGAAACCAGAAGGAAAATTTTGAACCTGAATTATAGTTAAATTCAAATTATAAACTTACTTTAAAGCAATGCAACTGTTGCAAATTCAGTGTCTATATGGCCTTTATTTTGCATCTTTTTCATATGTTTTGACTTGTATCTACTTTTTTTTAATGAAGAATATATTATCCCACTCTTGTTTTTAATGAAGAATATATTATCCCATTAATATATTTTAATGAAGAATATATTAAGTGGTAAAATCCCAGTTTAGGGAAGCCTATTAAAAAGTAATCAGTAAGTTTGCGAACAATGAATGAATGCAGATATTTTGACAGTACTGTGTATTAAGTATATTTAAGAATTTTAATGCTTAGGAAGAGTGAATCAAATGGCAAGAAGATAAACAAGTGAGAAATTTTATGGTGATACTTATGTGAACTTTGGGCACCTCAGAGAAATTCTCAGGTAGGTCTATATTATATCAAGTTTTATTCTAAAAGTAATGTTCATTGTGAGATTGTTGTTTGGGGAAGATCACTCTTAATCTTTTTATCTTATGTATGGAACAGAGTGTGGAATAACAATGACAATTTTATTGTTAGGGTAACTACCAAAGAGGTAAAGTATTTTGTGTAAAAAAAAAAAAAAACTATAAAAATGGTATATACATACATACATTCATACATATATAATGAACAGATGTCCAGAAGGAACATTTACTGATCGGTGAGATAAAAAAGGAAAAATGTTGAGTGTATGTACCTCACTCCTCCTGAGGGAGAAGAAACAGAGATGATTTAAGGGGATGTGAAGTTAAATATGAGTCTTTCTGTCCAGCCGGCAATAGTTGTTGGTTGTGTAGAAAGTGAACATGAACGTGAATATATGCTTCAAGGTATATGTGGAGTAAAGAGTGTATTTTTAATTCAGTGTCCTATATTTACAATGAGCTTTTTTTTAAAACTCTGAATTCTTTTATGTAAATGTATTGTAATACAGTCAAATAAATTGGGCTCTCTTTAAAAGAAAGGTAAAATGGCACAATACCAAATACTTTGATTAATTTCATGTATACCTGATGCTGGCTCATAACTGCTATATTTGACCATTGAAGTCCATATATGATTTTATTATATGAAATATTGATTTTATTATATGAATATTGATTTTATTATATGAAATAAATAAAATTGAATATTGATTATATTAAATATTGTTTGACTGAATACAAGAATATTGATTTTATTATATGAAAATACTCTTTGATGCTGCTATTTCAATGAGGATGTTCTTGCCAGCCATGACAGTTGTTAGAAGAAGGATAAAAAGTAGGTGATAAATGAGACAACCACTGAATGAAACTCATTAAAATGTCCTGTGTACCTTTTTCATAATTTCTATTGCTTTGTGGAGAATAGCATTACACAGAAGTCTTATTTATTTTTGGGAAGTTTTTATGAATGAAATCTGAATTGAGGAAAGTCATAGCAAATGGGCCAGGTGGGTGGGAGTCTTTTCTATTTATTGCAAAAACTGTGATCAGTGACTTGAAATCCACTCTGCGTATATAAAGAAAAATATTCTGTCCACAATTATAAAAACATTCTTTTGCTATTATTAGACTATATCTTATAGCTTCATATATATTCTGTTAGTGAGAAATAACCTAATCTTTTGACTTTGAAAAAGTGTTTTTCTTAAATCTCCATTTATTTTTTTGCTATCTAAAAAGAGAATTAAATTGGTCTTATGCAATCACCATCCATTTATTTTGTTTTTGTTATACAAAGGGCACTAAGACATTATTGTGTACCAGAAGAAAAAAAAAAAAGCAGTCTCACTCCAGTTATTCCAGAAATTGTTTTAATAGTCACTGTTCTAAGCAGTGTGTTTATGTTTGTCTTAACAGTTGGTTCTAGGATGCTGTGAATTCTTACTTTCCCCATGTACTGATAACACTTTCAGAAAAATTCACCATCCATATTCAAATACAGTTAATATAAAGTACTACATATTACTGCCTTGATCATGCATTCAGTCAAACAATAATTACTGATTTGTGAATACAGAGCCCACTGGCTTTTATTTTAATCTTGCTGGCCTGATACTATTCTGGGTTAGAGTAATGGGTATTGCTTTTGGGCACTGAGAAGTATCTGGAGAAGATTGACAGCTGACTACAGCTGAGACTGTCATTCATTCATTCAGAATTTATTCAGCACCTATTTTGTGTCAGGCAGTGTGTGTATTCAGTAGGGACATAAAGAATACTACAACATGGATTCTATTCTTTTTTTTTCTTTTTCTTTTATATATTTTTTACATCATTTTTCATTTTTGCACAATTTATGCATTTTCATCTTGGTTATAGTCCCCATACAGTTCCCACCCCACTTATTTTGACCATAATCCCTCCTACCTTCCCCCTTCCCCGTAGTGTGTCTCTGGTTTATAGTTGCTTGTTGATTTTGATTTTTACTTTATTATAATTAGTCTTTTTCCCAGCCCTTTATTTAGATTTTCTAAATTCCTGCTATGAGTGAGACCATCCGGTATTTTTCTTTTTCTTTCTGGCTTATTTCGGTGAGCATGATCCCTTCCAGCTCCATCCATGTTGCTGCAAATTGCATGAGTTAATCTTTTTTGATCGCTGAGTAATATTCCATTGTGTTTTCTTTTTTATTTTTAAAGATTTTATTTATTTATTTATGCATACAAGAGCTGGGGTGCAGGTAGGAGATGCAGGGGGTGAAAGGATTCACGAGAGACAGAGTGGGGCACAGAACAGGCAGACTGATTGAAATACACTGCTGAGGGGAGGAGTGGGCGAGACAGGAGAGGTCTGCCTCGCCATGTGGGTTGCTCCCTGGCCGGACGGGGATCAAACTTGTGCTGCAGAGGCTGTGGATTGCTTTGCAGTGTGGTGCTTAACCCCTTGCGCCACCAGGGAGGCCTTGGATTCAATTCTTATGGACGACACTAGAAGAGACAGAAGTGTTTGGCCCAGTCAACATTTAATATATTTTATATATAGGGGGAGAAATTAATTTCTTCTCTAGAGCAGTATGGATGACATTTAATTTAATTTTTATCAGAATTGCAAAATCTCAGAAGGAAGGA